TGCACAAGAATGCGAATGTATTGGTGCGAAATGGGCCGGCAGTAAGGAAAAGAAAATCCGTCGAAAACGCTTAGGTTAAGGGCTCACTCACCTTCCTAATCGGCTGTGCTAAGGGAATGAGAGACTAAGCGCGGAGAGGAGAGTATGAGGCGAGAGAGCGCTACAGATGAGAGAGCGCCAGACAAAGCCTGATAAGAGAAAAAATCTGCAGCTTCAGCAGCTTACTTTGCAAGGCCCAAGCGCTCTTGTCGGTTGGTTTCCGTGCACGGGAACGCCACATTGTCTCTAGGGGTCTATACTACAGACCGAATGGAAGCGTTCACACGACCACTGCCTGGGTTGTGCCTTTAAGGCGGTGTCAGACTTGCTACTAGCTCGATTCACAAAGTCTGACTCCGACCTAAGGGACGTAGTTCCACTAGAATTACTGAACCCAGATACTAATTACCGGGCCAAATGCCCAAAGTCAACGTTTTTATTGCTCCAGCCGAGTTTGATACCAATTTGATGACTCGGGAAGATAAATGGTCTGAACAGTTTAGGCAAGATCCGATCACAAACTTGACTCTTGGACTAGCCCGCCTTGAGTAACGCAATTCCACTACGCCACCTGCGTCCATCTATAGATTCATGTGCAATTAAAAAATACCATAAAGTTCCGAATCGAAGTTGTATGCGTGGCCGACCGGAAAAGTCTCGGTCCAGCCTCATAAAAATTCAATTTTTCACCTCTATCAAAAAAACGCACCGCCCTCCATTGTCGAGCTCGATTCGTTTGCACATTTCTTTCCATTTCATGAAAATAGAGAAGAGGCTGGTTGAAGACGCAGTTCGATTCTTCTACGCCGACCCAAAAACTCTCAATGAGGCGTATCGTGTCCCTATTTGAATCCAGGCAGTCCATGATTGATCAACCGTCATCGGAATTGAATCGAACTTTGATTCTTCACATAAAAATTGTTAATGATGGGAATGACGAAAATGAGAGGAGGTTTCAGTCAATTCCAAATTTCAAATGTTTCGTCTCTTTTGCGCAAATCATCCGAGGGCAGCAACTCAGCAAATGCAGACACCGATTCCTGGCTGCGCCGAGCTCACAGATCAAATCTTCTCCAGGCCACTCTAATCGTGCGCCACAATTTCAGAAGTCGGGCTAAGTCTTGGCTCGCCTTTTGAAGCGATTGAGACATGAGATTTCGGCACGTCAACAGGTAGGCTGCACCGTCAGCTCACTGCTAGGCGGCATCCTTGAAATGTACACGAACAATTTGTGCTGTGTACATCGAAGGCACGGCTTAAGCGTAGCGAGCTGGGCAGTGGCGGGTGGGGGAGAGGCGGAAGGAGGGACCGACAACTGAGCGAAACGAAACTACTCCGTACATGGGACTCGCTCGGCCGAATTTTGACCTATACGGGGGAGCGAACGAATCCACAACTTTCTGAACTAACCACCTAGCAAAAGCAGAGCCCAAGCATCAGCATCTCAATCGCATGTGCCCGTACTTCATGGACGTAGCTGGTTAGACGTTACAGGAAGGAATGCATGGCGCAATCTCGGATGTCAGTTCGCTGCCTAAAGTTTGCTAATTATCAGTTTTAGAGCAAATCGCTGACGATTGCCCCACATATGTACATGCAATTATTTGGTTCAAAGCTGCTCTTCTACATTTTCATTCCTTCCTTCTTGGTTCGTCTTTAGTCATTTTAGATGCAAGTCATGTTCGTGTTCAGAACAAGGCGTGCGGTTCGAACAAACTTTCGCACCCAATCGCGGCGACTCAACTCACACTGCTCGCATTACCAGGACAAGTGCGTACAGTTCCACTACCGGGGCACCGTTCAACACCTATGCTCGGAATTATTGCTTTACTTCCTTAGATGCTACATATCTTGTGATTCATGGTTGGTCATATTACCAGTCTTTTTTTTTCTCCTTTTTCCCCCAGCCGTTTCTCTTTCGTTTTTCTTTACATTCATAGAAGGGGCGGGCCGTTATTGTTGGCTGATTGCATATTACCATAGATGTTTTTTACCACCGGTTTTTATTCTCTTTCCGAACTCAAAGCCTGCATGTGCGAGGGTGGACATTAAATAAATCTATCTCTGCTTGCGTCCAGACGAGGCGGAAGTGGTGTAGTGACAAGTGGCGCGCTTACCACGCGAGCGGTCCGGGGATCAAATCCTGGGTCGTGAGTCGCCCGGGCCAACCAAGCCTTCCATCCCTCCGGGGTCGGTTAATTGGTACCAGACTTGTCTGGGAGGATAAAAACACTGACTTGTACATCGGCTGGCCCCCGCAAGTCATTGTATAGGCCACATCGCATTCAAACGCCACTACGAATGTACAAATGGAAGTAGAATGCGTGCCGCATCCCAAAAGGGATTGATCAACGGCAAATGCTTTATCCTTTATTTATCCTTTGCTCCAGAGGGGCTAAGTTGACTACATTGAATGAACTTGTTATCAGTAAAGAGGCTATCCATCGTATTGACAATAGTGCTTCGGAGGCAAACGCGTGGCTCATCTCCTGTAGAGCTCATCAGAGATGGGTGGTGCTTCCTATATCGTTCAGGAGGCTCCACTCGTACTACACATGGACGAAATTATTGGGAAGATCGTTCCTATCATAACCCATTAGGTTTCCGAACACTCAGTAATTCCAACAGAAACTCATAAATTCCAACCAAAGCCATCCGAATCGAACGAGTTCGTGGCAAGCAATCCATGATTGAAGGGTTGTGGTGAGTCACATCACCGATTGCATTTTTCCTCGGATTACTGTACTCAGAGTTCTTTTATCGATTGCCACTTGTACTGGCTACGGGAAGGAGTTTCGAGTTTGATCTTCTCTCTCTCGGTTGGTCTCACCGACGACCTCCTAAATGACATCATTTTCCCTGGTGGAATCCCCCGGTTTGTGTGTGTACGTGTGTGTGTCGGCAGAACGAGTTCATCGTGTTGTGCAAACGTTGCAAAACTTGATATAATATCAGGACTCTCGTTCGGGCTAGCACTTGACCGAGCTTGAACAGATGGGCGTGGTTTGACACCACGACGATTCACCCCCCCCCTCGAAGTTCCCACGCTCTACAGGTTGCCGACGGTTGTCGTGACATAGCTCGACACCACTAGAACTCAGATGATGACGCCGATGGTAGAGTCGTAGAGAGGACGACAACGATTCGACGACCGGTTGGCGCCGCCCCCACCGGCCGCCCGTCGCCTTGGCGCCGCCCACCGGAGCGCACACTGGTTTTTCGAGTTTCGGTGGTGTCTCACGCGGCCGGCTGTCTCTCTGTGCGCTCTCTGCGGTCTCTTCTGATTCGCTCTCTGGCTAGGCGCGGCGCCCCCGTCGTTGTCGTTGTCGTCGACTGACTACCGCCACCGTCGCCGCGCGGCCGGCGCCACGACACACACACAACCAGACCGGACATTCAGGTAAGCCTGTTCTGACGATCGGTCGGTCGGCTGGCTGGGGCTGGCTGGCCGGCCGACCGCCACCCTGAACCGCCAACCCGGCTCCCTGCTCTCGCCGCGGCTACTAGTTGCCGCAACGCCCGTTTTGACCCCAACAAACCCCACCCCCGGACTCTACAACTAAAACGACTACGACCTGCTTATCACTCGCGGACAGGTTCTGCTCAGGTCTAAACACTCGTCCGCCACCGTCACCCGAACCCGACTCTACTGCCAACAGGTTCATTCAGTGACGACGGCTCGCACACGAGTTATGTCGATCCCGTATCATGACACTCTCAGCCTCACGTACACCGGGGCGCACAGCTGGTTTCCGAATTCAACCGGACCGACCACCTCGCCCTACGGGTCATCAGCCATCTGGTTTCGACCCCAAGGCGAGTTCATACTCGACTTAGTGGAAAGGCACTAAAAGAATTGCTGTTGGTGGGCGCTGGAGGTAAAAGACGAGGACAATCACATCCGACTTGAAGCATAGGCCGGATCTTAGCGTCCAAAAAGCGTCAAGCGCAGTAGGCCAGCGAATGGTAGGGACTGCTGCGATTACGGTAGAATTCTTACAGACGTTCTTTGCAGAGCTTCTCATATATTTTTGTTATTAACTAACGCATACGAATATTCTCTACTTCTGATTTTTCCCACGGTAATTATTTTCTGATTTCAACGTCCTCATCCTTTTCGTATTCTTCACAGCTATGTCATGGACGAGCTTCAGACATTTTCTGTCGATGAACTCCTGAATTATGAATGTTGAGATAACTTTGTGCTATGTGTGATGTCGTCGCGGATCCTCGATGAATTCATTTTTCATTTCATTTCTTTCATTTCCTTTCTTTGCTTTTTTTTATTCACTCATTCAAAACCAATTATAACAGTGAATTGCTCGCCTTTCTTCGAAAATTTCTCTATTTCTGAACTCGTTGTGGATTTTGTCGGAGTTTCTAATATCTATTTTCGTTTAATATTCGTTTATGAATTCAAAACGTTTTTTCTGATAGAATTTCAAGAAAATTTCCCGTTTCAATCAGCGCTTTGCTTTACGTGAAAACTCTTTCCTTCCTCAAAATTTTCTTGATTTTCATGACCTACTTAAATCATTTTGGAGATTTCTATGACATTTTTAATTCTTGTGAACTGAGCTTTGAACTCCTGCTCTCTGATCGCCGTATAAGCTTCAGTTATGCCAAACACTAAAGATGTTGGCCCTTGGAGCCCTGTCGGAGGGTTGCATTCCTTCTATTTCAAGATTCTTAACCTTTTGATCCATTGGTGTTGTCTCTCTATTTTCTTTTGTTCTTTAGTGCGATTCTGAAGTCCGTTTTCCGCTTAAAAATGAATTTTGTGCCATTTTTGGCTAGCGAATCGATTAATGTTCAGCTCGCTCTCTTGTCAAATTCCCATCTGAAAATTTGAAAATTCAGCCAAATCTCCGATTGCAACAGCAAGAGCAACCAAGCAAGCGCATCGTCTCGCTTACGGTACGCTCAAGAGTGAAAGACGACGGGGTGTGGTTGGGTGTGGAATGAAGCTTGGCTTCGACTCGAACGTCGTCGCCACCATGTCACAATTCCAACTCGAACAATCCTCTGTGATCAAGACGGCACCACCGGGCCGTCAGCTCGAATTTTCGCCCAAGGTACGTCCCTTGGTTACCGTCCCGATGGACCATTTGGCCCCACCAAATTCAGCCCCTCCTTTTCAGAATGAACCGATCGATCTGGCGCCGTTGACGCAATCAAATCTGCAGGACCTGTCGAAAATGCAACCGATCGACCTGAACTACTACAACACGAACTATCAGCGAGCCTACGAATATGCGGCAATCGGTCTCGGCGGGCATAATCAGTCCTCACTAATACCGGCTCCATCCACTGCAGGTCAACTCTACTATGGTTTCCCGAACGGTGTTGTACAACAGGACTGGGGTCGACCTATGGACACCTACACGGCTTATCCCCGAGCCACCACTTTGCAGTACAATCCGCAAGACGCCAGCGGCACGACGACGGCTGCTCAAGAGCAGCGAAGCGTCTACAAAAGCGTCGACATGCCAAGTCCGGTTGATTCAGGCATTGGAGCCGATTTGTCGATGATCACCGGCACCAAAGAAGAATTCTTTCAAACCGACACGATGCTTGATCGATCCGCCGAACGAGCGCTCAGTCACCGAGATTCGCCGGTAGTGATACCGAAATTGTAAGCATAAAAACCCTATATAACGTTTTCGTTTAGTGTACGATAGTTTTTGCCACCGTATTCGTTGCGAAAGCCCCGTCTGATCAGAAGCATCCGAAAATATCTATTAGAAGAACAACTCGGGCCTTACTTTTGCACGATGAATAAGCCGACGGATTACGGTGGCAGAAGCTTGCGCTCGGAACTTTCTTTCCAATGTTTTTAGCCGAAAATTTCATCGAAATCGATCAATTTGCATCTTATGCCCAGCGCGGTGCCATTTTGCCGTAATATGCCACAAAACCTCCAATAAACGATAATTCATTATCGATTGCCGGTGTTCAATCCTGCTCTATAAAACCCATCGTTCTGGCAAATAGTCTCAGAAATAGCTGGAAGTTTGCAAATTGATCGATCTGCATATTTTGCATGAGAGAGGTGAATTTGAGTCAATAGCGCAATCGGCTGGTGGGCTCTCAGCGCGATCCGATAACACTCCACTCCACATGTCTGTCTGCCTTGTTCGCTATTGAACTGGGCTTGGCCAGACAGGTAGCCAGACGGACAGGACTTGTTTGACGCCAGTTTTTCCTATTTTTGTGTATTTTCAGACATAACCCGCTAGGTTTTCAATATGTACTGGAGGCACCGATTTCGACTTCAGTACGAAAAGAAGATGACCGAATGACGTACGTCAACAAAGGCCAATTCTATACCGTATCACTCGACTATATTCCCGATATCAACAAGCCGTTGAAGAGCGTCACCGTTAAGGTAGGCGTTGCACTTTCGGTCCCGGCGTACCTGAGTTGATTAGTCAAAGTGAGAGGTGGTGGTTGTTTGTGCAATAGCTGACGTAGATTAGTTCTGTTCCCCCTAGTGACTGCTGCACTGGGTGCCTGTTGCTGGCTGGCTGGCTGGCTGGCTTCGTCCTACAGTAGCCAAAGGGGGTACTGTAGCTGGTGGCGGTTCGCTATAGCGCGACCGTGGAGCGGCAATTGTGCGCTACAGTGCGTTTTGGAACGCACACACGCACAGACAACAACATCTGAATCAGGCCACCACCAGCACCACTCCACACACACGGGGGCTGTTATGGTCCCATCGGTGTGGGTGCAGGCGCGGCGAATTCGATTTCACTTTCGCTGTCGGGGTGAATTTGCGTAGCGCGATTGTGTGGGTGTGTGGAGGTCATACGGAGGCCCACCGCGAAGGTTAAAATCCCCCCAAATGAGTTTTCTCTCGTTTCAGAGTCAATTAATGATCGTATTTCGAGAGGACAAGACCTATGAGGAAGAGATCAAGACGTGGCAATTCTGGCATAGCCGTCAGCATTCGGCCAAACAACGAATACTTGAGGTGGACAGCAAGAACAGTTCCGGTATGATCGGCCAAATCGAGGAAATCGCTCATAACGCCGTTCAATTCTACTGGAATCCGTCCGAAAACGGTGTCAAGGTAATCGGCCTTGTGTGTCTATGAGTTCATTAAATCAGTCACGGTACCCAATTATCGTCTGAGAAGACCGTAAAAGATGGTTAGACCCCTGACTGGAATCGGCTGTCACTTGAGATTCCTTGAAGTTTTGCCGATTTCCCCCTAGAAACCAATCAATACTTGTCAATCCCCGCGACTGAACCGTAACCGCCCGCGCTAAGTAGACGATGAGTCATCTGCTTGATAAGCTTCCAACAACGAGTTTAGTGGTATGGGGCTTTACTGTACCCGAATAAGACCCCTAAATTCGACCATCTCGCTCAAGATTTCAAGCAGCATCTCCTGTTTATTTCATCAGAATTCCTGAATATGAGAGAAGGCACCTCCCAGGGTTCAAACTTCGCACTCCATAATTTCCCACCAAAAAAAACTCGTCCACCAAGAACTCGATTGGGAATTACCCGTTCTGGCAATCCCGTGCAGAAGTCGCGAAAAATTTCCTGTTTCACTTTTTGAAAATGAATTTTTGTAAAAATTCTCCCAAACAACCCATAAATCTTTTGCAATGATGCTACTGATTTCATATAGGAAATCTATGTTGGTATCAGGTTTCTGGGGTTTCTCAGAGGTTTTTTCTTCGTGAACCCGAGTTTTCGATGATTTTGCTCGTTTGTTTTCCTGGTTTCTTTTCTTTTTTACGGGAAACTGTCCTCTCAACCCCAAGAGCTTGGGTTTTTTTTATTTGAAAGATGGACTTTTGATGAGAATAATAGCTAGGAGGGTTGAGTACCTCAAGGATAACCCTACAGAGCTGTAAGCTGTTTTTGACTTTTGATGACGCCTTCAGGATCAACACTGACAGTGAGAAACCCTCTATCAGCTCTCCTAGCAGTTCGTGGGCTACGTAGCCTCCCCACCTCGCCCTCCCCCCGCGTGTCCGGTCATCCGATTGCAAATCGTACCTCTGAGAGTTGGCGAGCCCGTTTAAGTTTGTTCAAGCAAGACACTCCAGAGAGAGGACAGCCCCCTCCCTCCCTGCACCTCATGCATGTCTCTCTTCCCCCGCGATCGGTATTGACAGTCGGCAGGTGAGAGAGCGCAGTTTTCGGCGATTAGTCAATCGATATCATTCATTCAAGGCTACCTGTCCCTGTCCCTGTCGCCGTCGCCACCGGTTCTGCCCCATGACACACCACCCACGGGGGGAACCATGAGGGGTTCTTCACACTCAAGGACTCTTTACCCACTCAACTAAATTCTTCTGCTTTCAGATCAGCATCGCCACCCAATGCCTCTCGACGGATTTCTCGAATCAGAAAGGTGTCAAGGGTTTGCCGCTCCACGTCCAAATCGACACCTACGACGGTGACAACGACAAACAACCCTTCCATCGGGGTTACTGCCAGATCAAAGTGTTCTGTGACAAGGTGAGCGCTGAAATCTCCCCGAGGTTTCGTTCAGGCCACCACTGCGGAATTGCGATGGTGACGACGACACGCGCGGCGGTGCAATTCAGCGAAACAGCCGGCGAGAAAAACTCCACGTACAATTATACGAACTAGAAAATGATCGAATTCTACGCGAAAGCGCACGCGCATGTGCGCGTCAACCAGCACACGTCGGCAGGAAAAACGCTAATTGGCTGGTGGATTTCGTGGGCACACGCGCGCGCGCGACATGCTCCGCGTACGCGATGAATAGCTGCCGCCTGCGACAAGCGATTAAGGTATTAATGCGGCCGTGAACTTCGCTCAACCTCAAAACGTCCTCATTTTCTACTCAGTGAGTGCGAATGGGGCACGAAATTCACGAAAAAACATCCGGGGAGCAGAGAAATTCGCCGCGTAATCGTTAGTGTTAAAACAGCACATTTTTTTGATAACCTCGTGTTTTGGCCGTGATTACATCATTTCGTTTCTACAGTGGCCTTTATTTAAGCCCAGTCACGCAGTATAACCGCGAAACCAGAACTACAAAATTGACCAAAACGTTTGTGGTACTTGACAAACACAAATGCGTAGAGTAAACAGCTAGAGAAAAAACTCCATTTCTACCTTTATGGGGGCATTTAAGGAGTACGCAACTGCACTTTCACGTTGGTTACCGTAATAATCCGAACCTTTCAAGGTCTATCAGTTGGGGGGGGGCATCATGATGCAGTTTTCCAGAAAGCTAGGGTAACTCCGAGCCAGGGGGAGTGTAGCCAGTCTACGGGGTGGGGGTGAGGGCAGTCACTTGACATGCGTGAAAAGCTGGAATGTTCGAGTTCACACTAGTTCGCCGAGAAACTGCATCATGATGCCCCTAACTGGAATAGACTCACCTTTCATTTAGCTGCAAGCAAATTTATGGAAGCCTTATAGCTTTTAGAGCTGGCTTAGCAATGTGCTGCTCATGTCAATACCCTCCGATCCACTGAGGTTATAGTGTAAGGGCCGATGTTAGTGTGGTTACAGCCAAGACAGCGAATTTCACGGCTACGGTCTTAGGAAATCAGAATGGTATCCCTGGCGTAAATAAAGCCGGTGATGGTTTTTTGCAGCCATTACTCACGCAGTCGTAACTGCACCATTTCGTGGGCTGTCATAATTTCCGCAATTACGACCGAAACACTAAATTATTCGTAGACGAATAGTGTATTAAAATGGTGTCCACTCCTATCCCTGGGGATATATTGGCGCCGTTTCAAGCGAATTATGGCTGTTTAAGAAATGACCATAGCATTACTACTTCTAAGTACCAAACATAATCGTTCTTTTTCTCTCAAGGGCGCCGAGCGAAAGTTGCGGGACGAAGACAAACGAAACCAAAAACGCAAATTAGCAGGTAACCACCACTGTCGTCATCTGTCGGTCGGTTGTGGTCGTCCATCGCTATTGTGCCGTAACCGTAACTGTAACTGTATAGTTACTGCTGCTGCTCGCAATCGTTGTTCACACACCCACATAACGTCATATCGTACTGCGTACCGTACCGTACCGTATCATAACCAACAGTGTTGTGTAATCGTGTCAGGACCACACTTGAGCGCTGTTCACAGGCGCTTTGATAGCTATATTCGTTGTGTTGTTGTGAATCGTGGTGTCATCGTGAATGCTCGGAGAAGTCCGAAAGAAGCCGCTTCTGGAGACGCTGTTGTAGTCATCGTTGTAACCCACGTCGTCTTTTACATCTAACCCGCTTCGCTTTTTTAGGGAGCTAATCGGAAAATGCTCCATGAAAATAGACGAGACGAGAAGAGACGCATTCAAGGTACTCTATTCTGTGCTTGTTCTCTATGTGTTATTTGTGTGTCCATACATGTTTCCCTTTGGGACCCTCTGTCTGACATACTGTAGCCCGATAGATGGGCGTAGATTTACGGAAAAGTTCAACATAAATTCTTTTTTGAAGGATTTTTCATGTATAATAAGTGTTAAATGTTAACGAATAATCTTGTCAGGAATGTGCGGAAAATCAATTCTTATTCTCTCCGCTAGAAATCAATTTTCATTCTCTCCGATTGTGAAATTCAGCAAGAAGAATCTTATCCCAGCCTCTTTGAACCGTGACAATCACTCTGTAACGTCCGCTTTGGAATTCCCAGCCACCTTGGAAATTATCCATTTGAGCAGTTGCCCTGTCCAGTTCTTTGACTAGCATCGGTCAACCGGCAGTGATGATTGCCAGAAGCCCACGAAGGCTAAATCTAGCCATATGACCGAAATGGAATTTACCGAGTGCCCTACTTGAACCATGACATCTTCACGACTAGAACCCTTTTGTAAATTACGATGTAAGCAGTAGAAGCCTTAAAAACAGGAAGCCAAAAAATTAGGCCCCATTATTCAATAAGCACGAATTCCAATGAGCGTCCTCTGGATGTTTTCCGCACATTCCTGTCGGCGTTACTGTGTAATGAGGCCAAGTGCCAACTTGCACAACGGCGTCAATTATTTCCATGAATGTTTGTCTGTTGAGGGTCTTATCCAAGAAATCTTGCAATAGTCATGAAAAGCAAATCGAAAAGTAGGGACCAATCGGGACTCGAGTTCCCACGTGTACTGGAAGTACCCTGATTGGTCCATTTTTCGGCCACCCTTTCGCTTACGAATTTCTTGGTTATAGACCCTTACTTCATGTTAATTATGGGTAGAAACCCTCTGGCTGTGTGTTGTATTGAGCGAACCCGAAAGGGTTGTGTTGTGCTAAACCCGTTGTTGTAGGCGCCTTATCTGGCCGAAAGAAGACTGACGGTGAATATCATGAGCCATGTGAACGATCCGAGTTCTACCATATGCGAGAGTTGGATAAGCCGGCTGCTTTGTTTATCGCCCCAGACGAATACGATTCACGGTATCTCGACGGCACATCGATCGGCTATGACGGTCTCTCAGATATGGAACCGGTCGCGAAACGACCGAGACCTTCCGAGCGGAGTAAGTTCTGCTCCAGTCTTGTTCGGTGTTCATTACTTAGCTTCTCCTTGCCCTCTGCTCGATTTATCAACCAGTTTCTGTTATAGTAATGCTCTACGTCAGAAAACGAGATGATCAGATCTACACTCCACTACACGTCATACCGCCTTCCTTGGATGGCTTAGCACAAGCAGTTGCCCACAAATTCGGGATCGATTCTCAAAAAGTTAGTCTGGTACCACCACTGTCGACTTATTTGATGTGTGAGTCGTAATTACAGACATATTCAGATCAGCGGTCTCTATAAACGATGTGCCAAAGGTGTTACGGTGAAGATGGACGACGACATGCTTCGACATTACTGTAACGAGGACACGTTCATCTTGGATGTGGAAGCCGCCCCGGAAGACTCCACCTGCTTTGCCGCCACTCTTGTCGAAATTATGCCGCCACAGTATCAGTCGAGTTCCGGTTAGCTGCTAGCCAGATTACGGTAGCCTTCTTGAGATCATTTTCTGTTGATATCTGCTTATTGTTTTATTGATCGATTGTTCGTTTGTGTTTTCTCTTCGATTTTTTTCTTACGCCGCCGCATCCACGTACTGATCTGATGATTATTGATTATGATAACGTTTCTGTTTTGTCACGGTGACGCACACGCGCGTGTCCGCATGAGGCAGTCTCATGTCATGCCGCGCACGTGTGAAGCCATCGTATCAGCTGTCAGCGATTCTTAGCCTTTCTAGCCCCGTCTAAGTCTTTTCCCATCACACTCCGGTTCGTTATTGCAGTTCGCGGCGCGATTACGTGCGACGTCGCGCGCCCGCGGTCGCCTTGTCGCAGCATTCACCCAATTCGATATGATCCTCATATGTTATAGTATATACGTTAAGTTGTTCACGCTCTCCAGACACTCACACGATGTGATTCACACGCGGTAGCGGCGCGGCTTGCGTTATTGATTGACTCACAACCAGCCGCTCCGCAACCGCTCGCGCCCTATGTGAGTGTAGACAGGCTGTCTGTAGAGCATGTATGGCTACACATATAAATATATATAGAATTATATTATATCTATATTCATAGAGCGCACTCTTTGTTCTTCACACCCACTCTTTCACACAATGCCTAATATTGATTGATATTGATTGATTTTAAATATATGTATACGTAATATGTTATTGAGAAGAGCTCGCTTTGTTGTACATGTACATAGGATGTCAAATATTACTGATGATGATGATGTGATTCTAAATTGTATTTCACTTTGAATTCGAATTTTTTTGTGTGTGTGAAAATTTCCGAACTGCGATTTCTCTCTCAATCTTGTGATGAAAGCTAACTGAATTTAAAGAAATGAAAACGTGTTATTATTGTTTATTAGACAGCAAAGACAGCTACTGGCACGATGGATGCACAATTACAGACATGACACGATGTCCTGACGCAAAATTACAGAAAAACGTCTGGCTTCAGTGTCACGTGAGAATTTCATTCAGTAACGGTTCCGGAGGTGGAAGCGGCTCAAAGAGGGCCAGTTCACGCTGGGCAGCTTCGGCGTCCGACGTGTGAGCCACGTTACGCACATCGGATAGCGCGTAACGTTGACGTAACGATGACCGCACGCCGATTTCGGGAATCGGGTACAGACGGCTGCTTCCGAGGATACGCCGTACATCACCGCTTACTCGCATCGCAATCACTGGACCGCTAAAAATAAGAACCGTTGCGAACCCTTTCAGTTAGTGACGACTTTTGTGATAAATTTGACGAAGAATCAATCAGTAGCCACCAATCCCATGCCCCCACCCCCCATTGGTATAAGAAGCACGTCTAACGCCGCATCCTTAGAAAAAATCGATTATTGATCCATCTCGCTCAGAAAAAGCCAAGGCTCATAAAGCGAACACCTTCTTCCGAAATCTCCTACAGGCCTCCAATAGTCAAAAATACAATGACCACATCGTGGGATTTGAGAACTCGTTCCACTGATCGATAATCGTCCGGGTGCCACGACTTTTCCGGATCGATCAATCAATAATGGATTCATCCCCTCAGCATTTCGTTGAGTATAACTATTATTTATATAGTCAGGCCATTTTTAGTTATAGTATAGCTGTTAGATACTCTAACAATCACCGAATGAATAAAAAGGAATTATAGCTTAAGAAGTGGCAAGAAATAGAAACCAATAAATATTATGCTCTAGCACTCCTTAGCAAAATTAGAACTGTGTTTAGAGGATTACGGTAGCTTCCTATTTATTCACTATTCCACTCAAGACCCAAGTAAGCGAGGTTGGCTAAAGTCCCACTAAAACCTCCACATAAATTCCCCTGTTACAAAACTAAATTTAGCTCGCCATTTATCGGTCCGCCTCATTTCCTTGAGCAACTCATACATTTCACAGTATGAAATTTTTCGAACCCGCTTCTTAATCCATCCGTCCAACACTTCATCCCAGGCTGGAATTCAGCACGGGTACGAGCGCGCGCGCGGGTAAAACAAATAGAAATATAAAATCAAATAAAACTGAGGGGTCGATGAGCACTGGCCGGCCGCAACTCACCTGGTCACATGTCGCACCAGTCTTGAGTAGAAGAACTTGTCTGAAGAACAATCCAGTTTGAAATTCATCTACTGGTTTTCTGCACTGGGTCATCACCTAGACTTACCTTTATGATCGCCATAGAGTTCCTGGGCTTTCTGCTTGGTCAATGCAATTTTTGAGCTCCATCTATGACTATGCCAGCGTCCAGTAGCTCACGTACTGCCTGCTGCAAAACGAAGATACTGTGTTGGATGACTGGACCTTGAGGAGAAGAATGGGGCTACGATCCACTCCAAGGAAGGCCTATGTATACCCCATAATCGGAAACTGACGATAAGCTTTCAGAAAACCCTGCACTGTGTACTAATCACCGTTAATTGGGTTTTGTAAGCTTTCTTCTCTGAAACAATTTTAATTACATTCTTTTCCGCTTTCCGATTTCCGAAATACGTCGACATAACTCCTGAAAATCCTGAGCACCGGACGGATCCTGGAGCTTTGCGTGGCCGATTTTTGTAACAGCGATTACGCTTGAGCCCATTAACACCCCAAAGGCACCGTACACATTCCAGAAGGGATCTAACCGCATCGATAACTTCTAGAAAGGCCAGTTTCTAGAGATGTCAAAAACTGTAGGCCACGCATAAATAGGAGGGAATATGAAAGCTACTGTCAATTCTGATACTTTGTGTGTACACAGCTATCTTCTTCAACACAATTTATGCCTACAGGCGCCCACTGCTACCACATACTCCCTAATTTAGTAGTGTATGGAGCCTAAACTCTGAGAGCGCAGTTTTCTCTGATGCCCATTGCCAGCGATCGCAAAAATAAGCCTGTAAGGAGTCACGCGCGCCACGGTCTCCGTCCAATCGTCCTTCGAATCGAATTCGTTGTTTGTGCTCTAACGGCGCGTTCCAATCAGCCCATCGGATCGCTGCACTGCCCGTCAGCCGACTGGCTGGCTGGTCGGATGGCTGACGGTGCGCTGCCACTGCCTGCATCGCTTCTATTGCTACTACTGCTGCTGCAGACAATGACTCATCCGCCTAACTACCGTACAGCACATACAGTACTCCAGCCAGGCGGCCCCACCACAGCGCCGCGTTTTATGAGCTCATCGAGCGCCGCCTGAGCGCGCGTTTTCTTTTGCGCAGCTCTCTAGCGAGGCTTCGACTATACTGCCGCCGCCATCACAACACATAAGTGTTTTTCGACGGTGGTATTCAACGGTTCGGCGGCGCCGCCGACGCCACAAATTCAACTCTCCATGGGGTGATACCGTAATCCTATTGGGGGGTCCCTGACGGATGATGACTTCAGGCTACTGTTGCTGCGTCGCTGTGGCTGTCGCTTTGGCGGCGGTTGTCTCGAATGGACGAACGAAATGAAATCCCATTGTTGGCGTCGTACGGCGAACAAAAGACCTGTTTGTACGTCAGACTAAGAGTGCGCAAGAGTGTGCGCGCTGCGCAGTGCTGCGCTTGCGACCGTCACGGGAATATCCGGGACTTGACGGAATTCATTATTTAATCATTTTGAACACCATCGGACATATTCAATAACATCAAAGGGGGTATTTCGCGCGCGATTGTTGTAAGAACAGAAATCGATCAAGAAAATGGATTAAATCGATCGATTTAAAACAAAACCTCAATTCAATAATGAGAATACGGTAAACTTATGTTTGATAGAGAGAAGGGGCCGTCTAGCACTGCAAAAAGTGATGGACCAGAGAATGATCGCTAATCTTCTCTTTTTTGCCAGATTCCCTTCAAAAAAAGACCAAACCATAAACCTAACCCCTACCCTACTTGGTATGTCCTTCGGAACTTCTTGATAGTGGACACCTCTTGAAGCGCCGTCGCAAACCATCAATGGGGCATCGTTTCGACTCAGCTGTACAGAAGAACTTATAGGTTCATTGGCGAGCCCCATGTAGCAAAAATATATATATTCACCTTTCTCAAAGGAATGATAGAGTGAAGACCCTAACGGAGCATCGATACTTCATTCTCACTACATTGAGAGCGACAGAGAATATACCCGAAAAAAAAAATAATCAGACAATATATGTCTAGAGTGATACACAAAAATTGATTGTTCTCACAGTGCTAAAGACGCCCCAAATTCGAGAGCATCACACCTACAATGCGCTATGCGTAAAGAGCTCTCGCACCCTTACAGTATCCACTTTGTGCGCCACCTCAATCACTTATGGCGACCACGCACGGTGACACCAAAACGGCGCCGATTACTTACCACAGAGCGAGTGCACTCTTGTAAACCACGGTCAAGGAAGCGAGTAACTATCGGTTCAATAATAACATCACGTCTATACATGAGCGGAGAGGTCATATAACACGATGAGGAACAAGCAAGCAAGAAAAAGAAGAAGGAAGTACGAAAAGATGAAGCGCGAGGCGATGCGCAGTAGGGATAGTCGAGAGAGAAAGCAGCTATGTGGTCGCCAAGTATAGCCAGAGTGGCTAGTAGGCGCTGTCAGACATGCCCTGTGACATTTGTTCGACGTAATTTAAGCGATGATCTGTCTTACACGCTCCCATACCGCGATCACCGACGAGGCGCAGAGTCCATCCGCTCGCGCGAGAATCACAGCGTCCGGAGTCCATTAGCAAGTTTCAGCCGCCAGAGGAGGCGTTAGCTTTGAAGCGGCAGCGCCATGAGCGTCGCATTAACACTATTCCCGGGTCAAGCGGATTTCCATTACTCTATGCTGATAACAGGACCTTGTCTATACATCAGTTGAACATCCAAATCGAGGACTCTATCCAGGTCGCATTTTACTTTGCCGACTTCTGGTTGCTTACTATGCGTTTTATGGAGAAATTGGTCTGCATTGCTCCAGAAATGAGCTTGATATACGAAAGTAGGAGTAGTCAGTCTGAGCTACTATCTACTGGCCATCGAAACCCTCGCCACAGTTTCAAACCCTCCTGTATGATGAACTACCCACAACTCCATTCACAACCCTCGAATCGCTTGATCCGCCTTCGCCGTGTCGGTGTTGTTTTGATGAGTACTGTGTGACCCAGATGCGAAATTGATGAGGATCGTCGCAGGCGGCGTCCGCTGCTGCGGCGCAAGCGACGAATTACGGTGAATGGGTGAGAAATCCAGGCCGCGCGCTATCCCATAATATCCACGAATCTCTACACATCGCGTGCTAAATCCTTGTGGTGAAATCCCGCCACGAAATAGGGACCAAAATCTTTTCAAGGGTTACCTGAAGCAACGGCCGATGCGCTACGATGTCCGGTTTCAGAAGCATCAACGACCACATCGACATATCGCGTTGACCTATCTTCTTCACAAGTATTTATTCAGTAGAATCGGTTACGGTACTTCAGGCACGGTTCGTTGCAAGACCACCGCTGAAATTGTTATTCGGAATCACTGGAGATTGCTTGAAAATAATGCATACAGCAGTAACAATCGGATCCAACTACTCCCAAACTGACTACGACAGAGAGCTAAGACAAACTTCAACAATTAATTTCCCAATAGAAGTGAATAGATCCCCAGAAAGAAAAGCATACTGTAGCACCCAAAATTGGCCTGCACCCGGCGGTCTTGAGATTTTTGATCGTTCATAAAAAAAACCTGTTTAGGACGTAAAAACGTAATATGGGATATTATTGGGGTTTTCATAACTGTTTATCAGTGAACTCACTCGTCAGTAATGACGTTGGCCAAGATGCGGACCAAATCCGTAAACACGTCTGAAAATCACCCCACCACGCCATATTTGAGATTTATTGTATCGTGGGACTTGTCCAACCCTTTCTCTCGCCAACATTCCGTTGGCGATTTATCAGTCCTACCAATCAATCCCAATCAATACCACTTTCTTCAATATTTTTAGCGAATGTCGACTTTCGCAAAGACATTTTATCGATTTCACTATGAAGAAACGCCACTCATTACGACACGACGTAGTCGGTCGCCCAGCGTCCTCGCCCCGTCGCCGTATGATTTCGACCTGAATTCGTGGCGGTGCGCTCACTTGCGCGCGTCCACTCGCTTTCCGTTCTATTTATTCTTGCGCTCTGATTTCGTCGCGTTGTTGGAGTGCGCGACCTCGGTGCGAAGTGAGAGAAAGCGAATTCCGTGCGTCCCAAC